TAGAAAAAACGTTTGCTTCGGTGAACCAAAAATTACTATTTATCTGTGGTGATTTTAACATTGATTTGCTAAATCCAACAAGGTTAAAAGCCATTGATGACTTTACTGACACAATGTACAGCTTATCACTATATCCAACAATAACAAAGCCAAGCAGAATAACATCACATAGCGCCACTATTATTGACAATATTTTTACTAATGTCATGGATTTCCAAATTAATAGTGGCCTGCTTGTCTGTGATATAACTGACCACTTACCAGTTTTTACTTTGTGTGACTGTGATTTAAAAAAAATAGATACCAAGATCATGATAGCAAAGCGAACAATAAATGAAGAAGCAATTCATGCCTTCAATTTCGATTTAGCACAACAAGATTGGAGTTCGGTGTATGAAGAGTCAGATGTGGACAAGGATTATGATAATTTTCTAGATATTTTTACTATGTGGTACAATAAACATTGTCCTGTAAACGAACACATGACAAAGAAAAAAAAGATAAAAAGTCCTTGGCTCACAAAAGGAATTATTAATGCTTGCAAAAAGAAAAACAATCTGTATAAACAGTTTATCAAAGTAAAAACAAAAGAAGTGGAACAAAGATATAAAGCATATAGAAATAAATTGACTGATATTATAAGAACGAGCAAACAACTTTATTATAGAAGAAGATTATATGAAAATAAAAACAATATAAAAGGAACTTGGGATGTGTTAAACAACTTAATTAAACAAGGATCTTCTGGAACATCATATCCTGAATATTTTACTGATGCAAATGGTGAAAATCACAACATGAGTAATATTGTCGATGGGTTCAATAAATTCTTCATAAATGTTGGCCCTGAACTAGCAGCGGACATCCCGTGTCATAAAAATGAAAATATCAGTAATATAAAATCAAATCCCTTTTCACTGTTCCTCTCAGCTACAAATGAGCAAGAAGTAATAAATATCACATTAAAATGTAAAAGTAAGTCTTCAATGGATTATCATGACATAAATATGTCTGTAGTTAAACAGGTTATTCTGAATATTGCTAGTCCCTTAACATATATCTGTAATTTATCATTTCAGTCCGGTTGTTTTCCAAAAAAAATGAAAATTGCGAAAGTAATACCACTATATAAAAGTAATGACAAACACAGTTTTACCAATTATAGGCCTATTTCTCTACTGCCTCAATTCTCAAAAGTTCTAGAAAAACTTTTTAATTCAAGATTAGAAAAATTCCTTGAAAAACATCAAATAATAAATGTTGGTCAGTATGGTTTCAGAACGCAAAGAACCACTTCAATGGCGATAATTGAGGCAGTAGAAGAAATTACTGATACACTGGATAAAAATAAATATGCAGTTGGTAATTTTTGTTGACCTCAAAAAGGCCTTCGACACAATCAATCACTCAATTTTACTGGATAAATTGGAAAGATATGGTATTCGAGGGAAAGCTGGTAACTGGTTAAAAAGTTACCTAACGGGTCGGGAACAATATGTTAGCATAGGGCATTACCATTCAGAGAAACTTGGTATTACATGTGGTGTTCCCCAAGGGTCAGTGTTGGGACCAAAACTTTTCAATGTATACATAAATGATATTTTTGATGTTTCTCAAGTACTTAAACTCATACTGTTCGCAGATGACACCAACATATTTTTCAGTAGCGATGATTATACTGATCTTGTAATGACTGTAAACAGGGAGCTAAAATTAATAAAAAAATGGATGGACATAAATAAATTATCATTAAATATAAATAAAACTAAAGCAATGTTTTTTGGTAATTTAAAATATAATATAGAATTACCAATTATCATTGAAGGTGTACCAATTGATAATGTGAGTGAAAACAAATTTTTGGGAGTTATAATTGATAACAAAATTTCATGGAAACCCCACGTCAGACACATAAAAACCAAAATTTCTAGAAGCCTCGCAGTTTTGAACAAAGTGAAACAATTCCTTGATAAAGATGCACTTCGTACTCTGTACTGTACTCTGGTTCTTCCATATCTTACATATTGTGTGGAAGTGTGGGGAAATACATATAAAAATACAACTAATCCATTAGTCACAGTACAGAAACGAGCACTGCGTATTATTCACAAGGCTGGTTATCTAGATCATACTCACAAATTCTTTCTTCAGGCAAAGTTACTTAAATTCCAGGATCTGGTTAATTACAATACATCCATAATTTTGTATAAAGCTTTTACTAAACTTTTACCGGCAAATTTACAAACTAGATTTGAAATTCGAGAAAAGGTTTATAATGTGAGAGGCTTTGGAGAATTCAAATTACCCAGAACTCGAACAACCCGTAAAGGCTTTTGTGTGTCTGTATGTGGTGTGAAAATCTGGAACAGTCTGAGTTTACAATTGAAACAATGCAAAAATATTCATAGATTTAAATTTCTCTACAAACAGTTGGTCTGGTCACAGTATACTCAATGATGGGTTTTAGTGTGCTCTGTAAAGTCTGTTCTCTTACCATTGCTGGTATGGATTCCAAAATAAAAAATAAAAAATAAAGTGTGCGTATGTATGTACATATATGTACTTGTGTGTGTAGATATATATGTATGTATATGTATGTGTGTTTGTTACTTGTAGTTATTACTGCCTGTTACCTGTGGTAATGCAATTTATAATTTATATATTCTGTATTCAGTTATGAAGGCTCTAATTGTTGGTTGCGAGCTGCCGCTTAGATGCTTGTATGTGCCCGGAGCTGTTGATGGGTCTGTATGCAATGATGGGCGTAGCTGCGGGAAGTTTATTGTTTTTTTTGTTGATGAGTGAGTATAGGGGTGGGATTTAATACGTTTTCTTCGTCCCACTCCTTTTTCAGGCAATTTTTGTTTTTTGTTTTGTGTATTTTATGTTCAATATAGGTATTTGTTGTGCCTGAAAATGAATAAATAAATGAAATGAAATGAAATGAAATGAAATAATCAATAACAGACCAGGCTAAATCCGGGTGTGATGTGACCGTGCCGGATGGAGAGGCAGTGTCACAGATCCACACCGGGCGTATTCATGGATACAGGTGCTAGTTGTTAAAGCAATGCATGTCAGTTTTCCAGATATACAGATATGAGTGAGTAAATGTCACAGCAAGCAAAGTTATGAGTAATGCCAACGGCAGGCAGTCAAACCTGGCCTAACATATTTCTGTGGTTCCCACATAAAAAGAAAGTTTTTGTAAAGCAGTAACAGTTTGTAAAAGGCAGGACAGCTCGATAATCACCAGTACATATAGACCATAAATAGCACAGCGCCACATGACCTGTCCATAAAGAGACAACAGCAGCTTTCTTCACTGTCTCTACTGACAGATGTACCATCTATATACCTCCAACAGGACAACTGTTCCCTCAAAGACTGCTGGAAATGAAACAGCTGACAATAAATCCTCGTGTCTGTCTGCCCCCAAATTCACTTCTGTCAAATAAATCCAAGGTGAGCGCGCCACTAGATTTGTGTACAGGGGAAATGACACCTCTTTTTTTTTTTAATACCTGGAGACGAATGGGGTTAAGTAGAGATTGTCGATCCTTTCTGCACTGTCTCCAACCAGGGATTAGTTAACGGTTTGTACACTGCAGGGTGATTCAGTAGACAAATGGTAGCTTTACCTAAATACACACATCAAAAACATGCCTGGGATTAAAGTGCATGGGTGTTTTCACTTGTAAATTAATCATTTTTGAGCAGAGAAGCATCTCCTGATGCAGTTTTTTTATGCTCAGTTCAAAGAAAGACCCAAACGCAGGACACCTGCAAACTAAAGCCAATCTTTATTTAAAATGTGCTTGTTGCAGCACATTGCAGAGACTGATGGAAGAAACAAATAAAACAAGACAAGAAGGAGTCTGGTAGACAGACAAAGACCATAACTGCCAGCTAAGGGGAGCACTAGACTACACGGAGACCTGAGTTCACTAAATTCGTTGAACGCAGGTAAATGATTAACAAAATACAAGAGAGAAAAAAGCAGAAACCCCAAATGGCTCCACAGTGTTTGCAGTCTAAAATGAACCGTTCAGCACTGTAGCAGCGGTAGACCTCATACATGTTTCAGTCCCCACGGCACAAAAAAGAGGCGCAGTTCTGCTTACCTCGGCAATGCTGCCACTCTTCCAAAGGCCTAACTGGGGGTCAGCTAATGGGATTATGTGAGTTGGAAGCCCTCATAAATGAAGTCCCCGGTGAGGAGCGGGGAGTCCCTGCTATCCCTTAACCCTCTTTAAATCCTTTCCCTTTCACAGTCAGACAGGCACACGAAGACTGCACCAGCTCTGCTGCCGTGCTTGTAGGAGCTGTGCTCAAGGCACTGGGTGACGCCCGCCCCCCTCCTCCCCCCGTACCAAAAAAAGAAATTTATGTTAATAATTTTTTTAAAAGATTATTCCTAAAGCTGTCTAGCTTTATTGCATTGTACATCTGAGGCAGACAGAGGATGGAGGCCGTGGGTCACATGGAAACTCTAAAAATCACACAGCTGGGGAAGACTGATATGGGTTTACATGGCACTTTTATTGAACAGTGAGACATCTGGCTGTAATTGTCATCCTCTCTGTATGCTTGTTATATTCACTTCTTTAGGACTATTAAAAACACTTTCACTGCCTTCGGTGCTTTCCCTCTTCCCTTTCCTAATTTTTGTGAAGGTATAAATAGTAGTTATAGGAGTACTGTTTATAATTAGAGCAGGCTCTCAGTGGATAGTTGTACTGTGATTTAGTATCCTTACTGCTTTATTGGTATTTCACACTGGATGCCAGCCAGAGTCAATGAGATGGGATTCTGGAGACTGTAGTGTCATATTTTGAAATGGATAATTTTATAATTATTTTTAGCACAAACTATTGACTTGTGATTATTCCAATTTAAAAAAAAAAAACCCTATTGGTCAAATTTTCATTCGCTTCCTCAGACAAATCTTCGTCTATGCACGCCTCCTAAGCTTGATGTGTGTTACTTTGTTTCTGTAGAAATGTGAGCTCAGACGGGGCAGAGGCTCGGCGCAGACTGAGGGAATGTGAGGGATTGGTGGACGCTTTGCTGCACGCTCTTCAGTCAGCTGTAGGGAAGAAGGACATGGACAACAAGGTGAGACAACATCCGGGTCATCCACTATCATGGATTCAGAATGAGCTCATTCTAATAGCAGCTTGTTGCTGTAGTGTTCTTATGAATTTATGCTGTTCAGTATTCCTGTGATGAATGTAGCTGGTAATTTTCCCGTCTTTGTTTCACAGTCTGTGGAGAATTGTGTTTGTATTATGAGGAATCTGTCCTATCACGTACACAAAGAGGTGCCGGGGGCCGAAAAGTACCAGGACCCGTCGGCGCTACAAGCCCCAGGTTCAGCGGGACCACAAAGGAAGAAGAAAGACGATGCTGGCTGCTTCGGAGGCAAGAAGGCCAAAGGTGAGAGGGAGGATGAACAGAGGAGATGAAAACACTGTAACCAAACAATCACAGCTATCCAGTTCGTAGAAGATACAGATGCATGGATGATCTAACTCTCAATACAAATGTGTGCAAATAAAGGAGTTACTCACAGCAACACAACAGCTCTTAATGCATGTGTTGCTTCAGAGGTCTTAATCAGTGTTCTCCTGTGACTGTTATCTAAATGATGCCGTTATCGCCCAGCTGTACAACAGTAATGGCCGCCATTAATCAGTCAGCCAATGAGATGTGACTACCAGCCAGTGACCCCTGACTTCTAATGGCTCTTTGGAGAACCACATTAGTTTAGGGTTCAGGACAACACAATGCTTAACGTGTACAGAGATTAATAAAGAAGCCAGTTAACCGCTCGGATGCTTTCCGACGTGTAAACACACGTGCAAAGTGAATGATTACAGCCTTCAGACTGTACAGCAGTAGGCTAAGTTTGGCCTCTTCTTCCGTTTAGTGTTGCATTTGTTTTAAAATATGACATGATAATCAGCACGCACTCGTGCTTTGTTTTGGCTAATAGACAGCCTGATTGTTGGCTCTTACTTCAATCTCTTTGAGTACTTTTCTCCCCCTCCCACGCAGTGATTTTAATTTAGCACCGCAAATGCTGCTGCAGTCTCTGCTGTTTTATGTGTATTTCACCTGCCCTCTTAAAGCTGATACTTAATGTTTTTTAAAATCTTTCCCTTTTCCTTTTTTTTAATTCTTTTCTCTCTTTCTTGCTTGCTAACCTATCTAAAAACCCCTTTCTCATTTTTCTTTATATCTGACACTTTTCTCTGTCTTTTACTGCCCTCCACACACCTTAAAATCTATCCCCATGGGTCCCAGAGACCATCTATGAACTGCTAATGGCTTGCTATCTATACAAAGCACCGTTTCCTTTCTTTAGTCTTTCTCTCTTTATTTAGCTTATTTGTCAGTTTTCTTTTCTCTTTCACCTTTCCTATTCAGTAACAGATGACTCCTTTTTCTGATAAAAACTGTTCTCATGTATTACACGGCCTCGTGACACAGACACACACACACACAGCACACTCCTATTTCACCATGGCTCTTCTCTCTTCTCCCTGCTTTGTTTTTTGGCATTGCTGCTGCTTCCTTGGCTAACTATAGAGGAATGGTTTAATCAAGGTGAGTGCCCCCCTCTTCAACCTTTCTCATTTTAGCTCTCTCCTCGTCTCCATCCTCTCCCTGTCTTCCCCCACCTCTTCCTCCTCCTCCTCCTCCACCTCCTCGTTCTTTCCCCCTGGCTGTAGAATATAGTTAGAAGTAGTTTTGGGTGTCCTCCAGAAACCTGAGAAAGTTCCAAGGACTTAAGAAAATCGGGGGTTTCATTCATTCCACACACATTCCCTTACCATACCTACCGACCGTAGCTCTGAGCATTATAGACTTCCACCTGTCCCAAACTCCTCAGTTTGTTAGAATTAGTTGGTTGGATTTTTTTGTCAGTCCTCTAAGAAAGGTGAAAGGTAAAACGAGTGCTAAAACCGGTAAGTCAACAACAAATCTGTCTTTGTAGTGTTCTTAAGTGGAGCTTGACTAATCCAGCGAACCAGAGATGCTGAAATGGAAATTTGCACATCTATCCCCAAATTGAACTTTGGTGTGAATTCTTTTAGACTCCAGATAAAATGAATCCTGACAGCTTTGAAGAACACCGCTAACGGTATCCAACTGGAGCTCTTCACCCCTTTCTAGTACACTTAAGCATAAATGTCAAGCTCTGCTGCACACTCAGTTTTTTTATGCATTTGTTTGATCGTTTGTGATTTGAAACTTCTGAGAATGTCAATAATTAAAGCTAAAAAATACTTTATTAAAGCTGCCTGGATCGTGCGCTACAGTTTTCTATTATCTGGAACATTTAAGTGTGCAAAAAATATAGAGGTAAATGATTCTTTACGGATTTGAATGTTTGGGCTTTTTGGGTCTTGCAGACTTTTTTTTTTTTGATGCTTTCAGACAGCAGTGCTGGTTCTTTGTTTGCTGTGGTGGCAGCGAGGGAAAATTCTGACACCATGGCTACTAGCTTCCCATCTTACCAGCATCTTGTTTTGCAACACTAAAGCCTCATTCAGACATGGATTTCTGTGAATCTGACGCCTGGCTTCATGTCGTTTTTTCATACAAATCGAGCATTTTCACTGTTTACAATCCTGCAGACATCTCTCTCTTAGCCTGTGTGCAAGGAGCATGCGAAGCCACACACAGACCCCGTGACAACTGCATTTACATTTCACTGGAGTCAAAGCTGGCCAAGCTTTTTCCATGTGTAGTAAAAGTCATGTGACCTTTCACGCTTGGATGAAGCCATGATGTCACTTTTTCTTGTTTAGCCAATGAAATAAAAACCATCTTTACCTGAACAACAGCATAAAGTCACTTTAACAGAATGATGACTTGACTTGAAATGTGAAACACTTTATAAAAGGCCAAGCTTGAAATATAGAAATAAAATTTTCCATTGACTTACATTTAAAATATTTTTTATAAACTTTTCTTTAAATAAATCATATATAACTATTTGGAGGAGACAACTAACACTAACTTTATTTGTTCAAAAAAAAATCCTCTATCCTTGAACCTGGATTTAGACAACTGATGTAAATTATTTCCTGAAGGGAAGCAGTTTAGTGTTTGTACATATCATGTTGCTACATCTGTGTACTGTGTGTACATTTAAACACTTGTGCGTTATTTGTTGTTTGAGATGCATTTTCTGCCCCTACGGTCCAAAGATTTTGACATCATCCTCAGCATAACCCTGGGGTCTCTTTTCAATATCCAGTTGTCTGACACTGACGTCCTCGTTTCCTTCCTCTCCTCCAGGCAGAAAAAACGGTGAGAATGACAAAAGCTACGACACATTGGATCTGCCTAAGCGCACAGAGCCATCAAAAGGTAGGCCTTTGTGAGCAAAACATTTTAACGCTAAATCTATACAGAACATCTCATCTAGTGAGTGAGTGGTTGGGTTGGGTGGGGTGGGGGCAAGTCGTTTCTGTGGTGGTCAACAAGAGTGTGGGAGGCCTTTGAGTGAGAAAGAGGCTCTCGGCTAGCTGGCTGTTGAGCTAGCTTTGTTTGATGGTTTTGTGCCTCCAGTGGGACGGTTGATTGTTTGCAGCTTGTGAGAGCATCAATTCTGTAAGCCCTTCTTTTTGTTAAATGCTGTGACAATGCACTGAGGCACAACAGGCAATAAACAGCCTCTGACTGTATACGGAGGCTGAAAATCATCTTTTGTTAAATATGTTGAATTGCTCTGTGCTCAAAGTTGTTTCTGACAGTGCACCTTAGGAGTGGATGGACAGCATCTTCTTTTACATCATGTATGTTCAGTATGGGTGCTGTTGTTATAGCAACGTGGCTCAAGTCTCACGATGTCATTTGTGTGTTGCCGGGTTGCAAAAATGGTGGGTTTGATTCTTGTGAAGGTGTCGCTCATGACTCATCCAGTGGCGTCATACCTTGGTCAATCAGTGGAATACAGTCTGACGTCATATTTTCAGCTCAACTGAGCAAACGTAGGATGCTAAAAAAGTACCTGGTACCAGGTACTTCCACCTAGGAACCAATGTTGATGAGTACCTCATAGAAATGGCGCTTTACTGATCATCTGGCAACCACAGGTCATGAAGGAAACATGTGTATTCCCTATCCAGTTGTAGGTGGTGGCAGTTGCTCTGAAACTGATTGCTAAAGCATCAGTCTACAGACCACACTGTGATCCCCTGGCAACTGCTGGTTGCATTCCAGGACTGGTTTGGCAAGTGGTTTCTGAAGGTTGCTGTCAGTCTCTTGTGTGAAACTGGGGTTCAGGAAGTCACCAACCAGTGTCAAGTCTTGTGTGAGTGAAGTCTAAAGCTCACAAATTTAAACAGTAAACACAGGTGTAGCAGCTCTGCCAGGTAATTTGATTTAAAAAAAAAATCTTGGCTCTGACCAGTAACTTCCCAGAGTTTTTTCTGGTTCTGGTTTTAAAAAAACAAAAACACTTAGGTCCTCTTGAACGTTTCAGTTTTCAAGTTTTTTTTAAAAGCTTTTATTGTTTGTGCCATCACGATATAATGACTTAATTAGCAACTGCTGAGGTGCTGACCATCTCCCTGCAACGTTAATCATGTTAATCATTCATGATAAGCCACATTGTTTACAGCAAACCTTCTGCTAATACAGTTGCCAAGTATTTACACAGTGGAAAAGTAACAAGCTGGCATGTCATAACTTCCTGATTTAGGTTGACTACGTTCAAAAGATTAGGAAAGTCGACCTTACCCTTACCCAAAGGATTTATTATCACATAATAACTAGAAGCCACATTGCTTCCACCCTGGAGTATTGTAGAAAATGTTTGTCAGCAACACACAAAGCTTGAGTATGAGATGTCTTTAGCTGTTGCTTGAGAACTTGAGTCAGTGTGGTTACTGGGAAAACATGGTTGTTTGAGGCCTTAATTTCAGTCTGTGAATCCACAAACTGATTATTATTTATTGATCATAGTCAAATATTAAAAGACTCTTATTCTCTCTTCTCTGTTGTCTAATGCATTGTACAAACAGACATGATGTTAGGTAACATTGCAGGGGGCATCATTCCCAGATTTGACATGTGGTTCATGCAGTAGAGTGTGTGTGTGTGTGTGTGTGTGTGTGTGTGTGTGTGTGTGTGTGTGTGTGTGTGTGCGCGTGCGTGCAGGCATAGCCTCTCTGCTGTTGGTATTTGGCAGTAACAGGCAGTTGACTGTCATAAAAGCAAATTAGCCTGCAGTACAAACCTCATCGAGTTAGGAGAAAGATGTATATTTGCTCATGTGTATGTCAGTACAGTACATTACTCTGCAGTAAAGTGTCCGTGGTGTCTGTGGAATTTGCATGCCCTTGTTAAACACCCCTGTGTGGTATTAACACATCAGCACCTTCATTACCAACCACTTAACTTACTGCAGGAACCTTTGGAGGGACCAGCATCTAAGTTTGTGGAAATTGATTTATTCCCTTGAAAGTCACCGCTCCGCAGCTGTACTTTCTCAGAGTTCAGCAACTTTGGGTGTGGGGCTTGCTGTGCTGATTGGCTGACATTTCACCCTGTCTATCTCTGCCACCTCACAGACAATTCTGGTAAAAAGCTTGCAAAAAAGTTTCCTCTGCCAAAGTGGTTGTATCCTCCAGAGTGCCGTCTCGCTCCTCAGATTTACCTGTCACAACATCGGCAGATTACTTTATCTAATGTACTCCGATGCTTGAACAGTGAAAATGCAGACAACCATTGTTCTCAAAGCACCTTTTAGTTACATTAAAAAGTTTTTGTAAGTAGAAGCTTTGGGTACTTTGGATAGAAATGTGGCTAATGTCTAGTGGCAGGCACTCAAAGTCCATATCACTTCCTGATTGACTGTTAATTAGCCACATTAACACGTCAAAGTGGGCCCTCGTTAAACTAGATCACAATTAATTGCTGTGCTTTTCCAAGTTAAGCAGATTTTGCCTTTTTTTAAATTGCCCCTAAAGTAAAGGAAAGTAGATGAGCTACAAGGATAATAATTAATATTTTCCACTGGCTGGGTTTTCATGGGTAAAAGCCAAGCTGCCACACTGCAGCTGAGGATCTATAGCAGCTAGGCTGGTGCTGCGATTGCATTACACAGTGTGAAAACAACTCCCGTCAGAGTTTAGACTCCAGAGAAAGCAATTATCGTTATAGGCCTAAATGTCATGCACAGCTGAGATGAGTGTATGGGTTCGTGTTGTAGAGAGCGGCCCCGGCATTTTCTTGCTCGCAGACAGACAAATCATATTTGACATTTATTAGCTCAACACACAGCAGAATAACAACAGTGAGATGCATGGATAATAAGCTTAATCACCAGAGCAAAACCCACAATGTCTTTTAAAGCACATTTATCACTTTTTCTTCACTGGGAAACATCAGGGATGGACGCGCTTGCTACTGAAAGACTGTAAAAGTCCTCTGGGTGCCTTGTTTGTTTTTTCTGTGAAAATGTGTATTTGTGTGATTGGGGCACATACTCCACTACCCACCTCCTCCACCACCATCACCATCACATCCGCTGGTCACCTGGGGGGCGTTTGCAATGAGGGAGCGAGAGCAGCTCCCAAGGCTGAGGGAGATATGGGAGATTACATGTGTATCCCAGTCCTGATCTGATGTCAGGCAGGGAGAGGTCAATGCAGGGAGCATGCTGGACCTGGCAGTGGGCAATGATTAATCTTGTTTGTGTGTGCGTGTGTGTGTGTATGCTGGAAAAAGAAGAAAAGAGGAGACAAAGAGAGCAAGGGCTCTGTGGGCATTTTATTTTGACAGCGGTTGTGATTAGAGGGCTGTCTGATGCATGTTTTGAGACAACTTTTTAAAGATACTAAAAGCTTCAGATGTGAATAAGTAACACAACATGCCCGACACTGACTAATAGCAGTTAAATGCTGTACTTTGTGTGTCTGCTAAGTTGTTGCTGGGCAGTCAGAGTACATCAGGTTTTTCCAAAATTGTTCTGTGAAAGCAGATGGCCGATATAACAGAGACCTGAGCTACGAAGCAGGATTTGAGCTTAACTATGTAACTTTAGGATTATTATGAAGACGGTTCACTTCTTACCAGGGTATATTACCATGATAACGTACGGTGTAGACCTAGCCTGTGTGGGAACAGGTTATTTTTCAGATTATGGATCAATAAGCCGATATCACAGTCCAATGATAATTTGAATCTCTGAAAAATAGCCCTCTGATCTGTGTGCACAGATACTATAAGGGCCTGTAGTTTTTCAGTAGCATCTAAAGGCTGTTAAACACCACCAGGGCTGAAAGGATAAAAACTATAACTGTCTGACATTAAAACAATAATTTAACAAAAAATCGTTTGTGAACTTTTATAAGATTGAATGATTTAGTTTCTTGAAAACAAAAGTGAAAAGTTGTGTAATACCTGTAGGAAGTTTGCCCACTGCAAAAGTCCAAGGCTGTAGTTCCAGCATTGGTGTCATTTGACTACAACTTTATGTACTGTGAGCACTGGAAGAGAAATAATGTAGTTCAGGGATTAGAAATAGCTGCTGTGTAAAGTATGGCTTATAAAATAATGTTATATAAATGTCAGCATGACTGAAGGTCGGAGTTATTTATCCCGTCATTAGAGAAGTCCAAAGTTACTGGGGAGGGGAGCTGTAACAAAAGTGATTAAGAATTGTGAAAAGACCCTTTCCATTAAAGAGCCTGTGAGTGTGGCAGCCCTGAGATGTTGAAACATTTTCCCAGCAGTTAATTGAAACCACAGCTTTTACCCTTAGATTGGAAAAAGGTCAGGAGAGGAGAAGGAGGTGGGAGAACGGAAAAGATGTGAAAGGGTTTATGCAGTTAACTTATAGATCATACTTAATCAATTCTAAAGCATTAAAAGGTTTATGATCAGCCGACTCCTTAGCACCAAGTCCGTGTGATGTCCTGTTGTGCCGATTTGCAGCTGTGTGAGAATAGCACATGTGTGCTGCATACGAGCAAGGACGACTGTTCCAATAATAATGTTCCAATTTGGTTTTTCCAACATATGTGAAAGTGGCTTAAGAGTGGTGAGGGGGGAAACCTGAATGGAATCTTGGTTCTTCCTGGTTTCTTCCAGCCTGAATAAAATATTGAAAGGACAGAGAAACAGTTGTTAGCTTTCCTTTGAGGAAACACTGTATCCAATTAATTAGACCTTACATTTACAGTCTTCATATGTTTCCCTTTATCTGTGCTCTTATGCTTTACTGTCAGAGTACTCTCATGATGCAGGAGGGTGGAAAGCACCTCACACAGCTGAGGATGTATTTGTGTTTTCAGTGAGCCAGAGCATCCAAAGTGTGCGAGTACAAGAGTTCAGATCATAGCCAAACCAGGACTAAGAGC